CTATTTCTCAATTTTTTCAATTTTATCTTTATTTATCATTAATGACTTTTATTTATATATTAACATACATGATTCTCAATTTATTTTAGTTAGATGTTTGTATAATTTTTTCAATTTATTCTTTTTTCTATACAAGAACACGCATTAAAGAGACCTATATATATATATATATATATATATAAAATCTAACCTGTAATAAATCATGAATCAAATAACTAAAGGATAGGGAGGATAAAATTTAAAATAAACTAAAGGGCAATTACAATTTTTTGACTATGGATGAAATGAAAAGAAAAATAACTCTAATAAAAGAATAAAAAATCAAAAGAATGAGGATCAAATTAGAAAAATAATACATCATAAATTTGAATTGAATGATAAAATTGAAAATCAATAAAATCTTTACAAAAAAATCAAGAAAAAAAATAGACATAAAAAAAATAAGTACAAAATAGAAAAAAAAAAACAATACAAGACAAATTAAGATTGAATGATGAAATTAAAAAAAAAATATTTTTTTTTGAAAAAAACTAGGAGTAAAAAATAAAAAAAATAAAATAAGAACTAAAATTAAAATATAAACAATAAAAAAACAAAGTTATAAGTCTTTAGAAGAGAGAGAGAATAAAAATAAATAAATCTAACTAGCAATAAACTGCTCCACCACTATTAATATGTGTTGCAGCAATAAAAAAAGAACACATAAATGATCGAAACAACACGATGGAAGGAGATTTGTGGTTGTAGGAGCACATTGCTCGCAATGCTTAAAATGCGTAGACACCTCTCAAACAATAATAACTTTTTTTAATAAAATAATATATATATAGAAAGATTAAATTATCCTCGATGAATATTGAAAAAACAATAAGAATCCTAGTATTTTTTTTTCTACGGAAAAAATATTATTTTATTATTTTTTAAAAATTAAAAAGATAAAAATATCCTTTCTTGTTAGTTTTTAAAATATTAATTTTAAAAATAATTGAGTTATTTTATTATGTTTAAAAAATTTGTAAAAAACATATATACTCCCAATCAGTTCCTTAATTACTAATGGGCAATGTGAAAAAGCAAAATACCCCAAACAGATTGATTTTTTTTTTTGAAAAAAAGTAAAGAAATAATTAAACTGTTACAATGGATTGTAAAATTTATCTATATGCGTACTGAATTTGCCTCTCTCTCTCTCTCCCCACACAGACACACGCACGCACCTAATGCAAATCAAGATAGAAAACTATGACAACAGCTACCATCCTATAATCATCATATTATTATTATTATTATAAATACCATAACTATAATTTTTGTTCATATTGTCATCTAACCACCACTATCATTTTTATAAAAAAAATTATAATTTTCTTATTTTACTATTAAGTATGAATGAAAAATAATATACATAATAGAAAAATATATTTTTTAATATATTCAAATAATGACTCATTTTTTAGGAAAATGTTTTTCTGGTAAAAATATTTTCCTCAAAACAAATATTGATGTGTTAATTAGACAATGTAAAACAGTAATGTCCTGATTACGATAACAAGCAAGCAAATTATCAATGATTGGAATCAATCTGTATGCTTTTTAGATGGTTTTTCTATTATACATAGCTGTAACACGCACGCGCACAGCCTGAATCACGGGAAGATAAAGATACTCCTTGGAACTCGGTAGAAATCATGATTTTTAAAAATTTTAATTTTTTTTATTTTAAATTATCTTTTTATCAATATATTGTATTAATATTAAAAATAATTTTTTAAAATAAAAAATATTATTTTAACATATTTTCAAATAAAAGTATTTTAAATTATAATTACTACTATCCTCTCACACATTTTTTTTTTTTAACTAGTACCCATAAACCAAACATCTAAATTTTTTTTCGTAAAGCATGCTCACCATACTGTTTTTTCAGCTTAGCTTTTGAAGCTGGAGGAAGTCCGTACCCAGATCATGGTGACTTTATGGAATAGTCAAATAGCACTTAAAAAAAATACGTAACAGTGAACATGAGAAAAGGAAACGAAGACAAAACCAACGAGTCAAGCTGAAAATCCAATTGTTGGGTAAGGTTGAAGCTTATTTCTAAACTACCTGCCAAAAATAAGTTTAAGCTGCTCTCCATAAACACGAAGGACCATGAGCTCGTGTGGGTTATCTCGATCAGCTCTAATGTTGTGGGAAACCCCATCTGAAAGTAGTTCAACCACCGGCAGGGCAGGGACAGAGCCATTTATTTACGTCATATAAATTATTGGACACCATGCATTTCATGGTCTCCTTGTATGGGGTGCCATATCTTTACGATCATAAAACCCTTCGTGCCCATTGCACCGTGCAAACCACCTTCAATTCTGGGTGTCGTATTGATTGGCAGTCATGAGTGAAAAGAGTTAGCTTAGCTTCAGTAAAATGCAGTGTGAGAGGCTTCAAGTTCACCCAATAAAAAAGGTCTTCTTCACAGCAAGATTTACAGTTATTTTCAATTATCATCTGTGTAAAAGACTTGACTAAATTTTGAATGCACTTGCATTGTAAAATGAATTTGATGCTTTTTAGTAAAGAGTAGGAGGACAAAAAGAACGAAAAAAAGAAGAAAGGAAGTGAAGCAAGCGAAAATTATTGTCCAAAGGCAGAAAAGTAGTCGATGCTTTCCTTATCACATCTGAGAAAATGAAATGACTCGGATGGATCATACTTCAACTGCTACGCGGCAACTATATATCTTTAGACAAGAATATACGTACGAAGTAAATAATTTGAGTATCTTGTTCAAAGAGTCATATATTCAAGACTGCAGCAAAATAAAGCAGCAGCAGAAGGCAACAAAATCAAGAAATAAATTTGGCATATCAAAGCAATATATGGCTGACAGTTAGCTTGATCATCGGCGCTCGACTTTGGCTCGACAAACAAACTCAAACGTTATTTCCTCCTCCTCCTCCTCCTCCTCCTCTTCCCTGATTTTTTTCCCTTTTCTTTTCTTATTAAACCAGATTCCTGGTTGGGTTGACATGACTCAACACTGCTACTACAAGACAAATCAAGTGGACATACTAAACTTTTGTGCAGAGCTTTTCCCTGGCCAATGTCATGAACTTTTTCTATGCTCTGGCAAGTCGCAAGAACCGATTATCTGGCAAGGAAAAGAAAAGAAAAGAAATATGAGATGCAGAATTTTTTATAGCCTCAACTTTTAACATTCTATTATATTACGTAACATTACTTTATTTTTATCTGTATCGGCCGGCAATATTGTTCTTGATGGCTATCAAAACTTTCTGATTCTAATTGTTGAGCTACAAAAATGGAAGAGAAGAAATTTTGTATATTGAGGAAGATGGGATTTGAAAAATAATCTCAAAAAAGGTTAATTGAATCCCTCAACCCTATGAATCATCCAAGAGACTGATCCTCATTTTTCATGCCCATCAAAATAGTTCTCTATTAGTTTATGTCATATTCTTCCGAAAAATACAAAATTTAGTGATTTCCACACACCACCCTCAATCCTATCGTTGTTCTACATGCAAAAAGAAGGGAATTTAAAGAAAAAGAAAAAGAAAAAGAAAAAAAAAAAAAGAGAGGCTATATATGAGGTGATCTCTATTTGATTAACGAATTATCTCTATTTGATTAACGAGTTCTTTTCATTCTCTATTGTTTGTGATGAACCGGCTCATACTGCAGCATTGAAATGAAAAGTTGCAAGTGTGAAGCTTTAGAGCACTTTGTTTTTGTACTCAAAACATGTTTAAAGGTGGATTGCGATATATGTGCCATATATCTTGATTAAAGTAATTTTTATTTAAAAATATATTAAAATAATATTTTTTTTATTTTTTTTTGACATTACCATATTAAAAAACATAAAAAATAATTTAAATCTAAAATAATTTTTTTAAAAAATTCACAATCATGGTTAGATTATAATTCCAAAGGGGTAGTCATGGTATTTGATATTATAGAAGTAACTATATTTTAAAGTATTTTTTATTTAGAAATATATTAAAATAATATATTTTTTAAAAAATTTATTTTTAATATAAAAACAATAAAAAATGTTAAAAAATATTAATTTGAAGAAATTTTTTTCAAAATTTGCAAAAATCATGATGCAACCGTAGTGTCAATAAATGTATTTTAAAAGTGTTTTTGATATAAAAACATTTTAGATTAGTGTTTATTTTTTTATAATTTTGATATATTAATATTAAAATAAAAATATAAAAAAATTATTTTAAAACAAAAAAACTCTCCCATTCTCCATCACAATGCACTACATGAATAGTGGACCACAAGTAAAAGCTATAGCCCGTTTCTTTGGTTGCTTGCATTTGACAAAAAAAACAGACGAATGAAAACCTGGAGGATCATGATGATAATAACGTCTGATCTAACCTCGTCGCATGAATTCTGCTCTTACATTTTTCACGTTTGTGCCACCCCACCACTGTAATGTCGTCGTCTTCATCTAATTTCCTGAAACGTGTCCTCAGTTTTGCATGTTTTTGTCAGCAGTGGCAGGTGATTCACTGTACACTGACATCTACATTTTTTCCCTTATTTAAATCCGATTATCTGCATGTTAATAACGAGACAAAATCTCTCCCCAAAATCAGAACAACTTTCCGTTTCCAAGGACAAACGTCGTCCTGTGTCAACCAATCAAACATAGACACACAAAACGCAATCAACAACGCCGCTAACGTAAGCCGTGATCCCCCCGATTGCTAATTACATTGCCTGTTAAGCAGAGGACAGTACTGATTGCAGTGATTCGTTAGCTTTTGTGTTTTTTTGTTATAATATGTTTTTTAAAATATTTTTTATCTGAGGAAATTAAATGTATTCTTAAAAAAACATTTTTAAATGTTTTTATGGGACGCTGTAAAAATAAAAAATATTGTTTTAATATATTTTTAATTAAAAATACGGTACCATTACGGACAATAATTCCACTAGGTTTGAAATAATTGCCGAATCTGACTTCACTGAAGGCACAGACGTAGAGAGAGAAATTTCATTTCATTTTTTTGAAAATAAAAGCGCAGTACTATTTGTGAGGCTTTCTGAGAAAGAGAGACACAGAAACAGTGTACGAGTGGTAATGGCAGCGACTATTGCTGAGACGGTTGCAGAAGAGAGAGAAAGAGAAGCAGTGAAGCAAAGAAAGGACATTATTATTATTATTAGATCAGATTTTTACTACTATTTCTTTTCCTTTTCTTCTTGTGAACCCAAACGGATCGTTAAAGTTCTGGCTCTTGTTGTTGCTTCAAGTGAAGCGGAAGTTCATTTTGATTGCTGCTGCGGTTGTCGTTACACTTTCCGTAGAATCATTCCCTGGAATAATTGTTAGTTTCTTGTTCAAAAACAGACGAATACTATTAGTTTTGGTTAAAATAATGATTAACGGAAGTAATTCTGTGGATATTAACCGCAATGGAATTGCGAGCAGGAGCAGGTGCTTTCCGGTGGCTTGTGAAGGTACCTATGATAATTCACAATGATTTCGTTTCCTTTTCTTTTGATTTTTTAAGGTTTTACTGGATTATTGCTGCTGCTGTTGTTTTGGCACGAGTAGGATCAGAAGATGCACTGTACAAGGAACTATGGCACGCGTGTGCAGGTCCGGTAGTGACAGTGCCTCGCCAAGGCGAGCTTGTTTACTACTTTCCTCAAGGTCATATTGAGCAGGTTCGCTTTCATTTGCTTCCTTCACCTGTCATTTTACACCCATAATTCTCTCTCTCTCTCTCTGTGTTTTTTTTTTGCATATTTTTTATGTTATTTTTTGTGATGTGTATCGTAGGTTGAAGCATCGACGAATCAGGTTGCTGATGATCAGCAAATGCCAGCTTATAATCTCTCTCCGAAAATCCTCTGTCGTGTGGTTAATGTTCAATTGAAGGTAATATAAATGATACTATCTGTAGAATCGAATCAGGGTTCACTGAGTTAGGATTTTACGCGCTCGTTTTTTAATTGCAGGCTGAACTGGATACAGATGAAGTGTTTGCTCAAGTCATTTTGCTTCCTGAAACTCAAGTATGATTTGTTCTTGTATTACTTCGATATTTAAAATCTTCTGATGTTAATTGAAAATAACTAAATGCTGTTAAAATTATGCAAACTTGCCAGCAAGATGTGGAGTTGGTGGAGGAGGAGGACTTACCGCCTCTGCCTGCACGTCCTCGGGTGCATTCCTTCTGTAAGATGCTTACAGCGTCGGATACAAGCACTCATGGTGGATTTTCAGTATTGAAACGGCATGCTGATGAATGCCTACCTCCATTGGTCCGGTTCTTTTTCCTACTCCAATGTCGGATGTTTCGTCTCTTTTGGTTTAATGTTATTAATGGCTTTATTGTTTCTCTGACAGGACATGTCCCTACAACCTCCAGTGCAGGAGTTGGTAGCCAAAGATTTGCATGGACATGAGTGGCGTTTCCGCCATATATTTCGAGGTAATTGTTATCAGGTTGGCATTGATTTCTTTGAATATGATTTGTGCTTTTACGGATCATGTTGTTACCGGTTTCTCTAGTCAAGCAACCATCGTTGTACATGTTGAAGTTTGCTTGCTCTATCTTCATTTGTGTTGAGTACTGTCAATTTAAGGATTGATTATCCCCTTCTGTGCATGTTTTCAAAACCTTGGATCAATGATTAGTTATCCAGGACTCTTGGTTCTAACCTCTAACAGTTTGGCTCTGCTCTGCTCCTCTAAAATTAGTCAATTGTCGACTTTCCTTTTTAATAAATGAGTAGATTTTCTCTTGAGAAGTGATCAAGAAGTCTTTTGCTTTGATCTTCTGTCGAGTTCTAGTTGATTATCTCATTTTTACAGCTTGTTGATCCTGATTTATTAGATAAGATATTACCCATTCCTTGGTAATACACATGCTTATTTACATGCCATAGTTGCCATGTGGAATAGTTCTCATCTGATGTAATTGAGTTGGTAATGCATTATTGTGAATTCCAAATTGCAGGTCAACCACGAAGGCACCTTCTTCAAAGTGGTTGGAGTCTCTTTGTCAGTGCCAAAAAGCTCGTGGCAGGAGATGCTTTTATTTTTCTTAGGTTTACTATAATCCTCATTTCCAATCTCTCTGAAGCTTGCTAGCCCTAGCTTGCCTCAAGTATTTTCACATTGCAACCCAGGAATAGTTCTGGCACCTTTTTGAAACAATTTTAGTAGGTTTACCTGTCAGAGTTGATTCTATGGCAAATCAATAGAGCATCATTGATTTCTGGGTTTTTATTTGCAGAAGTGAAACTGAAGAGCTTCGTGTAGGGGTAAGACGTGCCCTGAGACAGCCAAGCAAAATCCCTTCTTCTGTAATATCTAGTCACAGCATGCATATTGGTATCCTTGCAACTGCATGGCATGCTGTTTCAACAGGATCAATGTTCACTGTCTATTATAAACCAAGGTTTGTGACTTGTTCTTTATTTGCAATTTATTGACATCAGCAAAAGATGTTTCCTTGTATCCCTTTATATAAACTGTTGAGATTGTGACATTTTAAAATTGAGTAGGGTTCTGGATGATATGCATGGTTGTAGTATGCATTTTGCTCGTCCTGTGTCCATGGTTTACTTCATGCATTCGATCTGTTTCAGGACGAGTCCTGCTGAGTTTATTATTCCAGTTGACAAATATATGGAGTCTGTCAAGATCAACTACACTATAGGGATGAGATTCAAAATGAGATTTGAAGCAGATGACGCTCCCGAACAAAGGTATGATTTTGAAACCTTCAATTTTTAAATGACTTGGACTCGAACTTCCACCTGCAAAAGGAAAGAAAGAAAAATGTCAGTTGCAGAAGGGGGATGGGGAGGCATTAATATGTCTTTTCATCATCTGTGGCCAGGTTCTCTGGCACTGTGATCGGGGTCGAAGAGGCAGATCCAAAGAAGTGGCCTCGCTCAAATTGGAGATGCCTCAAGGTGGTGGCATATCTAAAGCTTATTGGCATGTTGATTATTTTTCTTTTGCTTTGTGTTTGCTAAAACCTCCTCACACTTGCTTTAGGTTCATTGGGATGAAACTTCTCCTGTTCACCGTCCAGACAGGGTTTCCCCTTGGAAAGTAGAACCTGCTTTGGCTCCTTCTATGGGTCCCGTTTCTGGGTGCCGATTGAAAAGGCACCGTCCAAACACGGTGACATCATCTGCAGACTCCTCTTCTCTTACCAAGAAAGGTATAACTAGCAATCTACTAGTCTGTACACTTCATTTGTCATTTTCTGGTTATGAATATCTCTAGTTATACTAATGTCAACTAGATAACGGTCCTTCAAGACACATGCAACATCAAGAAATCTTGACCTTGAGAAACACACCTACTGGGAAGAATTACTCGGACAATAATCACAATCCTCCATGGGTTCTATCTCAAGGTAAGGACCAGAGAACTTTTGATAGTAGGAGATTTGAACCAGATGACAGGATTCCTTAATTAATGCATGGTGCAAACCTCATGAACCCAACAACAGGAACTGGAACCCTGCTTAAATCTTATGAATCCAGTCGCCCTTTCTTTGGGCTGTACTCTGATGATGTTGACCAACCCAGTAAGCTTACTTCAGATGAAAAAAGCATGTTCAACTGGCATTCAGCTCCCATGATGTACACAGGCCACCCATTTAACATGTTGGCATCTAGCATGGAAGCTCAGGTGGCAAAAGATAAAGATACACAACAACAGCATGGAAGCCGGTTCTTGCCTTTTCCATATGCCGACAGTTCTCCTCGTCCATCGAGATCTAAACCACAGCATCTTCCTTTTCAACAATGTAATGAGAGAACAGCTAAAGATGATAATTACAAACTTTTTGGTGTCTCCCTTTTTGGGAATTCTAAGGCACTGGAACCAGCCACTATTCACAGGCACTCCGTGGATAAACCACAACATCAAATCAATGTTGCATCAGATCATCTACAATTGTTGGGTTCTGAAAGATATTTGGAGCAATTAAAGCATCCAAAGCATGCTAGATGTGAGGAACAAGAGAACATTTTTCAAGCCTCTTCTTTATATTTAAAAGATGTCCAGGGCAAGCCTGAGCGTGGTTCAGCGAGAAGATGTGTAAAGGTTGTTACCTATTTTAATGCAGTGATTGAGTAAAACTCCTTTTATTGAGAATACTTTCTTCTTTACTTTGGATAAGAAACTGCAATCTGTATGTGTGGCCTTTACTGGTTTAGGTTCACAAGCAGGGGACTGCTGTAGGGAGGTCTCTGGACCTGGCAAAGTTTAACGGCTACAATGAATTGACAGCAGAACTGGATCGGATTTTTGAATTCAATGGTGAATTAGTTGCTCCTAACAAAGATTGGCTGATTGTTTTTACTGATGATGAGGATGATATGATGCTTGTAGGAGATGATCCCTGGCAGTAAGAACTCAAACCTGGGTCCTATTTTTCTGTTTGAACATGAATTGATCAGCAAATCACTTCTTCACGGTGTTAATCTTATGATCATGCTATGTAGCCTGCCTGACTTTAGCAACTTGAACCAAGCCGCCGTTTTTTGTATGATGTAGGGAATTCTGTAGCATGGTCCGCAGGATCTTTATCTATACCAGAGAGGAGATAAACAGGATGGAGCCACGTTCCCTGAATCTTGAAGCCGAGGGAAATTCACGAAGTACAGACCAAATGGTTGATTTGGAAAATCAAATTTCGAAGCATCTTCCAGCTGTGAGTCCCTCGGAGTGTCAAGGCTTGTGCTACATGACTGGCAGCAAGGTTAGAGATGCATCTACTTGGATACCCAAACCATAATTTGAGAAACATCTGAAAATTTGGTGGTGGGAATGGCATGTACATTTTTAATGGCTAATCAACGATCAAGATCTTGTTGAACCACCTCAAACTCAAAAGTATTTCTATTTTCTTTTAGATTTAAACTTCTAATTTCGTTTTGCATTTTGTGGTCAAATGATTTTCCCACACCTTTTCCAACTTCAGCGGCATCCTCATTTTTTCCTTTTTGGAAAGACCAAGCAGGCTAGGAAATCTTTTTATTCCCTAATGTTTTTTCAGGTAATGAGGCCGGAAAGGTGATACAGGCGAAGTTGTTGCATCATGGCCAAGATGTCTTTGAGGCAGTTGCGTTGCCCCTCATCTAGACTTTTCTTCTTATGCAGCATGGTCTGTTTGGTAGATAGACAACGCTGCCTATGTAATGTTCATTTTTTTATTGTCACTTTTGGGGGAGGTGTGGTGGAAAAACAGCACCAGTTGTTTCTATCAGCCTAGAATGCTTGGATATGTATTTATACTAGGGGCAGACCAGGGCACGCTGTCCACCCTTTCTTCTGTTGCTTGGATATGTATGTATACTAGGGGCGGACCAGGGCACGCTGTCCACCCTTTCCTCTGTTATATCTGCCCGGAAAAAGAATTGCTAGATACAAGCTCTCGTCTGTCTGTACCCGTTAGTTTGTGGATTGTAGTGGTGGCAATGCCCTATCACTGTCTGTTTCTTTTTTTTTTTATATATAAATATTTTTCCTATACCAGTTCGTATTATTTCACTAATTATCTTTGCCCTTCTCTTAACTCTTATGGGCCACCTTCCTTGCTTCAAGCAACAACCTACAATGGCTGGGCTTTTTTCTTTCCTTTCTGCTTCTGTTGTATTTGTGTAATTCAGTGGCACAAAAAGATTAGGCAAGCCACAAATCTAAGCTCGGTGTTGTTTAACCAGTGTTCGAATTGATCTCCACGATAAAGAAAAAAAGTGCATGAGTGGAGATCGCTGTTGATGGTTTGATGGCCTTGCTTGCTTCAGTCATTGAGAAAGAGAAGAGACAATTGCTTGTAGATTAGAACGGGCAAAGTTGTAGAGGTGATTATTAGGTCGGCACCCTGCCAGAACTTTCAGGGAATAAATTTGATATAGCCAGAGCATAGTTTTATCTGATAGGCGGCAGCACTTCTCTGTGAAAGAGGAGGTTCGTTTTTATCTTTAAATCGTTTCACAGACAAGGACACGGGGGAAATTGTAATAAAGAAATTAGAGGTGTAAAACAATTAATCAGGGCAAGGGATTTTTCCATTTCAGATAAATTCGGGGAACATGATCGAATAGAAGCATTCCTGAGAGGAGCAGGATTCAATGGCCATGATCAGTTGCATCATCCAAATAAAGGCATTTAAACATAATCAAAACAGCCAAGAAGACATTATAATTCTTATAGCAACTAACTAAATTAAGTGGTCATCGACTATCTACTTGCAACGGTGAAGGAGAGCCATTCCCAAACCTGCAGACTCTGTTAACTTATAATTTAAAATAAATCCAATAAATCTCTACTTTTTTAATCACCTCCACTAAACATCTCTCAATCTCTCAAGTATTACACAAACCAAGTCAAAACAATGTTTGAACTTGATTGCATAGATAACTTGAGTCTATATATCATTAAAGTTCTCAATGTACCCATCTTCTTCACTATTGCAACACCATATGACATTATATCTATATGACATCAATATATTTGGTTCTTTTATGATATATTGTTTCTTGACAAGATGAATCACAATTTAGCTATCATAATATATAATAATCAACTTATGTGGCAAACCGAAATTAGTAATCAAATCTCTTAGTCATAAAGTTTATTTCACTACCTATGTCAATGATATATGCTTAGCCTATACTGTAGATAAGGCAATAATGAATTGCAAGATTGCTTTCCAACTAATGACACACTTTCAAAGAGTAAAATATAATCCGTCAACAACCTTTTCTTATACTAATAACCAGTATAATATAAATTTACAATGCCCTTAACATTACTTATAGTGACATAAAGTTTTTTTCATCATCTTTGTCAATACCATATACCCTACCTTTATTATAGACAAGGAAAAAATGGTTTGAAAACTTGCTTTTCAACTGATGGTACACTCTAAAAAAATGAGACGTAACCTATAAATGACCTTTTTTTATTCAAATCACCAGCGTAATATGAATTTACAAAGCTCTCAACACCATTTTTAGTGACACTATCCTTTTCATATACCAAATCAACATTTGTACTGCCTCTAAGATAATGGAATATCTATTTAATGGCTTTTTAGTGAATTTTATAAAAATTTTCTATAAACTTGCCAAACAACTAACAACATGTCAAAATATTTGAATGAGTGCACATCATAGCATGTATAATAATTCTGATTACATTAGTATATGGAACACCATGTATGTGCTCCTCCTCATTTTTTTTTTTGTGACAAAGCTAAAAATAACCTGAAATAGACTACAAGTAGAACATCCACTAACTTGCAATCTTGCATACCAAAATGCTCAAGTATTTTCTCAAGATATTTTTTCATGACAAGTATAGCTTTTCAGTGTGTTGATAAATATGTATATCTATAACTAAAATCTTCTTTGTTGCGCTCAAATCTTTCATCTCAAACTCATCACTCAATTGATCTTTCAAATCTTTCAAATCGTTAATCTCAAACATGTTATTTAAAGCAATCAATATGTCATTAATATACAACAAATACACACATCTATCATAATCACTTTTAAAATAACTATGTTAAAGCATAAGAACCATTTGAGAGCTTTATCAAATACACATATCTATCATAATTACTTTTAAAATAACCATGTTAAAGCATAAAATATCAAACTTTTTATATCATTACCTATATGATTGCTTCAAACCATCAAATGAATTCTTTAATAAGCACATATAGTTTTATTTATATTGAGCTATGAAACTTGTTAAGTCATTCATTGCAATAAAGTCAATATCAAATGCAGTATTGCAAGAAAATATATATGAAGTTGTATTTTTCTTTCAACGAGCGTCTATAAACATGAATGAGTTTTCTACTACGCCTAAAAATTATTTTCTCGTAAAGAATTAGAAAAAAATGTGTGCGTGTCTGAAGTTATTTTTTTATGCACTAACATAAATAAATATAATTTTTTTACTTTTTTAAGGATCAAAATTTTTTTTGTTAAAAAAACTAAATTAGCAGCCTAGAAACCATAGTTTTGAAACTTGGACTGGCCCAGCGGGTCGACCCGGGACCCAATCAATCCGGGCCTGGGACCGGTTCGAGTGGAGATAAAAACCCGCTTGGAAATTATCCCAGTAAAACCTGCTCAACCTGAAGAGTCGACCCGAAACCGGGCCGATCCAGGTAAACCCAGATGAGACTCGGTCTTATTTTCTTTGGTAATTGTCTTGCTCTTTATCTCTCTTTCCATGACAACTGTCTTGCCCAAGGTTTCTCTATACATTGTCTATCATTTTATTTCTCTACACAGTAAAAGAAAAAAATGGGAAAAATAAGTGAAATTGGAGGGCTAATATTAGCAACAGCAGCCTCCTTTTCCTTTTCTCAATCAAATTTTGTTTTTTTTGCCGATGACCCTTTTAGTTTTTCTCCTTTCTTTTCTTCAAACCCTTCTCCTTCCCCTCAATCTTCTTCGTCTTCTTCTTCTATACAATCTCAGCCATCCACTTTGCCTCAATCAACGGCGACGGGTAATCTAGAGCTCCTAGGAATGGTCACCCACGAACAACACTGCTGGGACAGCACTGCTGGGTTTGATCTGAAGCTCTAGAGAGAGGTGCTAAGGTTTTGAGAGAGTAATCCTCTTTCTCTCATGCTAAAATCATTGAAACTTTTCAAGGTGTCCACAAATATAATCTGTAAGGGTGCCTTTACTTTGGTGGTGGGATTCATGGAAAATTTATGAAAATGGTTTTTCGGGTTTGCTTGTTTACATATACAGTCTGCAAGGGTGCCAGCAAAAAATATTCACAAAACCCAATAAACTTTCTGTTGATTTTGCTGGGTTTTTGAATTGGAATTGGATTTTCTTTATTGAGTTTTTTTGTTGGATTTTTAATTGGGGGTATTTTTGTAAAATTACTTACCATATTTTTTTGGTTTTGTACAAGAAATGACAGCATCAACGTGGTTGGGGTATAATTATACAATTCATAAGATATGACGGGCAAAATTAATTACGTTGCCTGAACTCAAAGTTGCTTTTTGGAGCATTTGATTTAACAAGCAGCTGAAATCCAATAGGTTTTTTTGGGTTGATTCGGGCTAACATATCTGACCTATGACTTAATTATTAAACCGGGCTGATTATTGAATTGGGTTTAAAAACTATGCTAGAAACACAAATAGGTTTAAATTTTAGGCATAGAAGTAAACCCATCCATGTTTCTAGACTACCAATTTAGTTTTTTATTTATTTAAGGATCAAATGTGTTTTTGTTAAAAAAAAATTAAATTGGTAGTTTAGAAACACAGATGGGTTTAAATTTTAAACATAGGAGCAAACCCATTCATGTTTCCAGACTGTCAATTTAGTTTTTTTATAATAAAAAACATTTAATTCTTAAAAAAAAAGTATTTATTTATGCTACACACATGAAGTTATTTTTTTATGCATGAATATAAATAAATATTGTTTTTATTTTTTCAAGGATCAAACATTTTTGCTAGAAAAAAGACTAAATTGGTAGTAGAGCTAAGTTTTTATATGTTAAATTTATTGAGAAAAAAAAAGTCTTCTTTCTCTTCTTTTTTTGAACTAACAGGAGAAAATCTAATAAAAGAAAAAATCTTCTGAAACAAAGGAATCGATTTTTCATTTTTTAGGGGTTAAATAAAATTTTCGAAAAAAATGGACGAAATATGCTCTTATCAAGAACAGGGAGGGGCAGAAATTTGTAACCTTGGGGCTAGGGCACCCGAGCCTAGCCCGTGTTAATGATCGAAAGTACTATAGAAGCGAAAGTCTATCTTTTTCTAAATCTGCCTTTGTTGCCTCTTGATTCATGGCAAAGCAGAATGATTTTCAAAAGTTGTTATAGGGATACAGACTGTGATTTCATGTTTCTTTTTAAAAAAAAACTCTATATTTCTATTTCTAGTTCAATTTAAAAAAAAAAACAATAAAAAATAGAAACTGGTATGAAATTAAACGGCCATTAAGAAAAAAAAGAAAAGAAAAGAAAAGAAAAATACCCGTATGAGCAACTTGTCGTTCATCGCATTGTTATTACGCAAGCTACGGCTGTTTTGTCCTTCTTTCGTCAACACTTCTTCTTCAGCTCCTGTAAAGCGGAACAGACAACCTGCTGGCTGATAACAACTTATCTTAACAAGAGTTCTTCACATATTTTTATTGTCCAAAAAATCAAAGTTTCTGAACATTTCCCTGTATTCAATGATTGTCCACTACTGTTTCGCAGCGCCATCTCTCAATCCTTCGCCACTAATCATAGCTCATGACAAGATTCCACTAAAAATAAAAGCTGCAGCAAAATTTACTCAAATGCCTTCATGGGTCTCTCTGAAACCAATTCCTCCTTCACTCAAAACCCATGAAAATAATAACAAAGACCAAATTGAGAGTGTCCACTTAGAGGGAAAGCTCAAGGAAGCTCGTGAATTTCTCAAACAAATGGAGGAGGCTGGTATTTTTGTCAGCCCTCGTTCTTGTCGATGCTTGTTGGAAGCGTGTGGAAAGTTTAAATCTTTTTTGGACGGGAGATTGATTCATGAAGTAATACAAAGAACAGTGAAAGTTCCATTTGGGTTAGCGGAGAACCCAGTGCTGTTGATGTTTGTGAGTGTGGAAGCTTAGTTGACGCACAAAAGGTGTTTGATGAAATGAGTGAAAGGAATCTGGTTTCTTGGAATACCATTATATCAGCTTATGCTGAAAACGATGTTTTTGATAAAGCTAAAGCTAACCGAATGGGTCCTCTTATAATGGGCTTTTAAGGTCTTTTCTAAATCCTTTCAATTTGGAGATTGGTAAATAGATGATACATTCTCATGCTATAAGAAGTAGGTTAGTAGGTTATGCAATGATGCGCACTTGAAATGTGGTTGGTCAGAGGGAGCTGAGCTTGTTTTCAACAAAATAAGTGAAAAGAATGCATTAACTTGGACTAGGTTAATGGTGGGGTACACTCAAGCTGAGAGGCAAATGGATGCTTTGGCTTTCTTTGCTAAGATGGTCAATCAAGGTGTTGAATTGGAGGAGCATGTGTTCTCCATTGTTCTAAAAGCGTGTGCTGGCCTAGAGGAGTTGAGTTTTTGGGAGGCAAATTCATGGTCATATTCTTAAACTTGGGTTGGAATCTGAAATTTCTTTGGGAACTCCTTGTGGACTTGTATGTTAAATGTTCCAAGTTAGAAATATGCGTCTAAAGCATTTGAGTGTATCAATGAACCGATAATGTATCAATGAACCGATGATGTTTCTTGGAGTGCTTTGAACACTGGTTATTGCCAAAGGTGTGAATTTGATGAAGCTCTCGAAACTTTTGAATCATGGAGGACTAGAAGTGTGGATATAAATTCCTTCACTTATACAAGCATTTTCCAAGCATGCTTTGCACTCACAGATTTCAACATTGGTGCCCAAGCTCATGCAGATGCAATTAAAAGCACTCTAATTGCATATCAACATGGAAAGAGCGCAATGATTACCATGTATTCAAGTTGTGGCAGATTAGATTATGCCACTTGAGTCTTTGAATCAATAGATGAACCCGGGGCAATGGCTTGGACTGCTATAATTGCTGGTTATGCTTGTCAAGGAAAGGCTCCTGAAGCTCCAAAGTATTTCAAAAGGATGCAGGATTGTGGTGTTAGATCAAATGAAGTTACATTTATTGCTGTTTTAACTGCTTGTAGTCATTCGGCTCTGGTCACGGAGGGCAGACAAGATTTGGAATTGATGAGTAGCAAGTACGGTGTTGTTCCAACTGTTGATCATTATGATTGTATGGTTGGTATATATTCCCGAGCTGGTTTTCTGCAAGAAGCACTTGAACCAGTAAGGAGTATGCCATTTTCATCACATGCAAAGAGTTGGAAATGTTTGTTGGGTGGGTGCTGAACCAATGGGGATCTTGAGATAGGGCAACTTGCAGCTGCAAACCTCTTTCAACTGTAACTAGAGGATACTTCAGGTTATATATTCTTGTGTTTAACCTGTATGTTTCATTTAGGAAATGGAAAGAAGCAGCTAGTGTTAGAAAGATGATGACACAAAGAAGTTTGAGGAAGGAGGTTAGCTGCAGTTGGATTACTGTCAAGGGTAAATTGCATCAGTTTATAGTGGGCGATGAGCACCACCTTCAGACGGAAGATACCTATTATAAATTGGAAGCTGGAAGTGTAACGTTTTGAATTAAAGAGATAGGAAAAGGCTATAAAGCCCTTGAATGCTTAGATGTAGGAATAAATGAATGAAGGGTATTGTGGTAATTTAACAAAACTTGATAAATATACATAGGAAAAAAAGGAAAAAAAAAAGAGATCTGCAATTAAGAGTGGAAAACCGGGAGAAGAGAAGAGAAGGGAAAGAAGAAGAAGAGAAAAGAGGAAAAGATAAAGGGAAATATAAGAAAATTGAAGAAAATAAGTTTAAAGGTAAGATTATGTATAAATATATATTATTTCAGCTTTAAATTTATGTTTTGGTTGAATGTTAAGGTTTTGAAGATTGTGTTTTGGGTCTATTGATGAATTAATTTGGATGTTATAGGGTTGATTGTTGTGGGTAATGTATTGGTAGTTGATTTTGAGAAATTGTAGATAAATATGATAATTTTGAGTTATGGTTTTGTTTGAATAGTGAATTTTTGTTAGAAATCATGAGACAACAGTAGGTAATATGTGGAAATTCTAGGTTTGAGGTTGAAGATGATAATTTTAGTTTGGTCCCTCAATTTGTAAAAATTACAGTTTAGTCTACAAATTTTGAAAAATTTACAAATTGATCCCTGTAGCATATTCCGAGATTCTGAACAGAATTAAAGATGAATTATGGGCAGAATTCCTGTATAGTTATGAAATTTTAATACTTTCAATTTGGTCCTTCAATTTGATAAAAGTTACAAATTGACTCTAAAAATTTGGAAAAAAATCCAGAATGGTCCCTGGAGCATAATTAGAGATTCTGGATAGAAATGAGGATGAATTATGGACATAGTTCCACTATAGTCATGAATTTGTGATATTTTAATTTGATCATCCAATTTGATAAAAATTACAATTTGACCCTAAAAGTTTGGAAAAAAAAATTCCAGAATGGTCCCTGGAGTATAATGAGATATTTTGGACAGAATTGAGGATTAAATATGCTCAGAATTTCAGTATAGTCATGGATTTATGATATTTTTAGCTTGGTCCTTCAATTTGATAAAAGTTACAATTTGACCTCTAAAAATATGATAAATTTCAGATTAGTCCCTAGCTGTAATGTTAGTTTTAGCAGATTGGTTTGATGAATAAATGAGGGTTATTTAGTGAATTATTATCAATTTTATTATTTGTTTTATTATGGGTTAGATTTCGAAAAAACCGTTAATTTTTGGGTTTTTGAAAAAATAACTAGTTTAGTCTAAAAACATGTAGAGTTATGGAATATACCCTTAAATAAATGTATTAAATATATTATATGTTCTTTTAAGTCATTCTTAATTATATCTCCTTTGTATTCAGATAATCCTGATATTTTACCGGCCAGACGTAGTAGGATTTCTTTCGGTATTTGCTTTTGAGTTGCTTTTGCTTTCGAGTCAGGTGAGTGCATAATTTTCCATATGCATGAGAACTATTATAAATATTTGATTTGTTAATATAAATTAGATCATGCTTCTTGATAATATATATGTTGATTATTATCTTTGTTATGATAAAGCATAATTAATTGTTGAATTTGAATTCTTGATATGAATTAGTATATATTTTGAATTGACTTATGAATTGATAGTTCCTTATTTGATTGATGTCATGAGTTGAGTTTTGAGATATCAATATGTTTGTTTGATTATAATTATGAATATATGATATGTCAGTCAAAATACCCATGCTAACAAGATAGTGTTAATCTTTGTGCATATTGTATCTAAACCTTAGTTGGTCGGGGGAGTCACCAACTTGTGTGGACTAATTATCCCATAGTACAGAGCCTTATGCTCATTGCATTTTGATTTCATCAATTTGTGTGGACTGATCATCCCACAGTACGGAGTCTCATACTTATTGCATTTTGATTTTCTGACTAGCTTTACCTAGTGATATTCTTATTATGATCTATTTGAGAAACCTTCCTATAAAAACCTAAAGCCATACTTGTATATATATTTTTTATTGTTATATTACCTCGTGTGTGTGTATTAAACATTATCTACTCGCTAAATTGTTGAACTCACCCTCTTATTATTTATCTTTTCAGGCTTATAACTTGTTAGCGGGTCATTTTGTTGAACCTTCAAGACCTGCTCTTTTATTGAAATTTATATTTTTCTTTATGTACAGTTAGTTAGTGTTATAAAATTATGAAGTTATATTAACTCATGTATTAAGATAATTAAATTATATTATAAAGTTAGCTTGTTGTTAATGTTGCGTTGAAATGTGATTGAATTATTTAAAGGGTAAAATTGTATATAAATTTGAGTTTGTATAGATGTAAAATCTTAAAAGAAAATTTTGTTTATATGCAAATTATAGATCCGAGAATTGGTTCGGAAACATTGAATGATTCTGTTATAAGAGATGAAACGGAACTTTTGAGAGGTGTATCAGATAGTTTGCCAGGTAGGAAAGAACAGCCTCTAGTCCATAGTGAGAGATTTGCAATAGCATTTGGTCTCATATCTACACCAAGTAATGCTCCTGTTGTTCTTTTCAAGAACCTCAGGGCTTGCAAGGACTGCCATGATTTTGGTAAAGAAGTGTCGTTGATCACAGGACGTGAAATCATCGTTAGAGATTCTTTCAGTTACCATCACTTCAAGTTAGGGAACTGTTCTTGCACTGACTACTGGTGATCCTACACAACGTTGCATCACAGATTCATTCGCCTCATAAATCAAGCTTGACTGGTAACAGTTCCTAAATATGGTGCCCATGGAACAATATGGATCATAAATACTGAATATCTGAGAGTATAATGCATGAAGAGTAGGAAAGAGGAACAGAGTTGTGTGCTCTGCACTGCTGACACGAGTGCACGCATGACTTGCTTGACAAGATCTGTTACCACATGGATTTTGCTATTGCAGCCCCGTCATTTCTCGCAAGTGCATTATGAACCAATCAAGGTATGACAATAGTTTATAAAAGGTCATCAATGACAGATTGGTGCGCTTGCAAATGATGATACGAAATTACCTCTACTATGCTATTATTTTTTGGTGGGGCTATAAAGTACGAATGTACAGTGTAAAGGAGAGGCTTTGTGAGCTGCCACGTTTGAGGGTATCAAATACAAGCAAGCTGCAAATCTTAGGGATTTTCTGTGCATGACTGCGATCGATTCGATTATATCATGTGTGATTATGCTTTTTTGGGGGTCCATGGCACCGTGTGATGCTGCTGTTCATAGGAAACTTCCGCATGGTTGCTTTGGCAACTTGATTGATTATTTATTCAATATTGAATAACACGCGATAAGTGGTACGATTATTTATTCTTTCTACTAAATTATTTATACTTTTCAGAACATATTTAAGTTAAGATTAATATATTTTTGAATATTTTTCGATAATGAAACTTTAGATAAAGAGTTCTCAATTACATAATCAAAAGGGCTCTATTTTATTTATTAGAAAAAAAAAATATTTTTATCCACTTTAATATCATCTCATGTATAGCAGGTAGGTTTTTTCCTCCTCTTTTTATGGTTGGATGATACAATAGGAATTCACCTGAAAAAAACTAACCAACTTTTGCAACACAGGAAGGCTATTTTTTGTTTTTTGCAATCGAGTCCCAAGTAGCTCATTTACTTCGGAAACGATCCATTTACCAAAATTCACACGTCAATAAAATTAATAGACTGTTGCCGAGATTATGCTGCATCATAGGAGTGTTTCGTTTGGTGAAACATGATAGATTATTCATTTAGTCGAGATATTCTATCAACACAATATACGCACGTCCCATATCTTCAGTACAGTTAATCTCAATTCGTGAAGATATCCAGAGTTGCAAGATGTTTTGTAGTTAGATGTTTAAGCAGCCTTTTTATGCATAAAAGACATGAACCCACATGGCTGCTGGCGTCATTATTATACCGTGAAAGCAATCGAAGAAACAGTTATTGGATGGAGAAAGGAAGAAGAACAATACACCATAAATTTAACGAAAGAAACAAACAAAAGAAACTAGTGGTCGAGTTAAAACAGAGACGGATGATGGCATGGTATTGTTAAATTCAGTTGGCGCCTTAAAGCTCATTATTAATGAATGGATAAAATCCTATCCACTTCTGTTCGTACTGCTGATTGCTTACCCCATACCCTGTCCTTCTCACACTCTCGCACGCCATTTGCACTGAAATCCTAGCTAGCTGCCTGTAAGCACTAAGCTAGACACTCTGTCTTTCCTCTCCACTCTTGACACTTCATCAAGTAAAGGGAAGGTGGGTTTTACTTACTCTGCGTCTCTTTATTTTTTTCTTCCCTTTATTTATTTAGTATGCTTATTTGTTTTGGGTGATTACAGTTTTCTTTTTTAGTATGTATGCATGTTCTTTTACTGAATTGCTAATGTTGAAACATCAGTTATCTCTCAAATTCGAATAGTCTCGTGAATTTTGATGTAATATGGAGGTTGATAAAAGATGAACATAAAAAAGCAAATGCCATTTAAAGGTGGTGGAAAGATTTAGCTGCTTTAGTATGCTCATTGAGACCTGTTTTGTCCAAAAAGCAAGGAAACAAGTATGTTTTCTGTTTAACATTTCGACAGTTTGCATGTCTCTGTTTTCCATGTATCTAATGACTTGTCTTCAATCATTATATGCTATGATACTCAGGGAAATGTAATCCTATTCCTATTCGGATTTTTTACGGTTTTTAGAATTTCATTTCAATAAAATTAAACAATACAACTTCGTTAAATTCGGTTGGCCGTATTTTTCATGCAGTTCAATTAGACTATTGGCATCTCCAAATCTTGGCTGTTTTGAGCCTATCTGAATCATGGAAGTTGCAGAAACAAAATGTTCCTCAGGCTATGGCAAGCCTCCTTGGCTATTTAAAGGCAGGCACGTATCCAGCAAGTCTTAATTTAGTTTTTTTTTGGTCAATTTCTGTGACTGGTATGATTTACATCATTCCCATTTATAAATATTGTTTAATGAAAGGTGTGATCCCCATTTCAGTGCCTTATACCAGCTTCATCTTGTTAAATCCGAAACTGCTCGAGCATTCATTCCGAAAGAGTTCAGATTAGTTGAAGCATTTGGGTAATGTTTGTTTGTTGTAAATGTTGTTTGAACTTTAAAGGGAAAGTGTTGGGTTTCAAGATTTCCAATTTTCACTGTTAATTCACATGTCTGCACTGCAGATACACTCTTGGAGGTTTTTTTCTCGCTAGCTATGAAGACAGTCCAGCTGGGGTTTTTGATGAGGTTCTATGATCTTCACAACTGTTTGCTTAAGAAACTTATTGATCCCGTTTTATGGTCATACATTTCATCCATGGCATGACTCAATGAGTTAGAAGGAAAAAGTTGTGGGCACTTGGTTGATTCATTGAGCACCGGCAGAAATGAAAGAAAGTTTTAATTTTCTTTTCTTTTGGTTTCCCCCCTTTCTGCAGCTTGTGGTGATTGCAGGAACAGTGTGGAACCCCCCAACATCTTGTGCGTAAGTTTAGCATCCCATCCCTTCTTGTTCTTAATAATATACTGTAAGTGATTGTGGACAAGGAATCTTTTTGTGCTTATAAAAAAGTTGCAAGGCCCAGAGCAGATGAATCTTGATTTTGGTTTTTCCATCTCAGTTCCATAAAGGCAATCATAACAACCTTTTGAGCTATACTGGGCCGGTCAACTTTGAAACATGCATGTCCCCTGTAGTGTCTTAACAATATTATTATTAGAGGAATCAACTAAAGGCATCATAATTGTTGTATATTTTTTCGTCAAGTTGCCTGAGCAACTGGTCAAGTTGCTGTACTCTGTTCAGATAGCATCCCAAAGACATGTTTTTCAAGCTGAACCGAAGCACCTGGTTTTCGATACAATGGGCCTAAAGACGATTCAAGATATTAGCAGTTTGCTTTTTCACATTTCTAAGATTGTTTCAAGTCTTTGACATCATATATTAGAAACTATCAACGCAATTTAAACTATTTTAGAAGCCCTCTTTTTTCTTGTCTCGACAGATGGGCAGCCAGGGTGCTCGTAAACAGTGGTGATGCTTGTGATCATGGACGAAAGGTGGGAGGTCAACAAATTTCTTATGGAATTATGAATTTTAATATTTTAATATAAATGAATTCCGTTAACTTATGGCCATACTGTTTGAATAGATTGAAAGATGCTGGTCTCTATTTGCTAGGGTGAGATGATATGCAATTCGAAAGAAATTGCATTAACAACATTGACACATCTTTGAGGCCAAAAGGAACCAAAAATAATTAAATGCAAGATAGACATTTGGATGCAAATTGCTCTTTCTTTTAGTAAAAATAAAGTTCAAATTGAATGATGAGATTCTTGTCAATGCATTAAGAGCATTGACACATCTTTGAGGCCAAAAAAATAATTAAATGCAAGATAGACATTTGAATGCAAATTGCTCTTTCTTTTTGTAAAAATACAATTCAAATTGAATGATGAGATTCTTGTCAATGCATTAAGAGCATTGACACATCTTTGAGGCCAAAAGGAACAAAAAATAATTAAATGCAAGATAGACATTTGGATGCAAATTGCTCTTTCTTTTAGTAAAAATACAATTCAAATTACATGATGAGATTCTTGTTGAAAAGGGAAAAAAACAAGTGTCCTAATTAAGGAAGGAAACTTTTTGAATTATGACAAATGTAGATGCGTGTGACACAACAAAGGTTGCAAAAGTCATTACTAGGTATGGAGAAAATGCCTACAAAGATGATGGATGACCAAAGGATAGATATGGACGAAAGAGCCTTGCCAACTACCCATATTTGTTTATTTGATGAGGTTTATAGTGAAAAGATTGCTACTAGTTTACGGCTTAAGTTGGAGTCTTTATGCATGATGAAATCCCTTACAAATAATTTGTATTTGAAACACTGTTCGTTTATGTTATGGATGGAAGAAGGTGCATCAATTAAAACTTATCTTGATGAATTTAATTCTATTGTTGTGGATTTGAGGTCAATTAATGTTACGGTTGAAAGGGAAGATGAAGTCCTTGTATTGTTGTGCTCCCTGCCAGATTCAAACATGTATCTTAGAGACGCTTTTTTTATCTTGTTGAGATATAATTTCAGTCAAGGAAGTTAAAGTAGCTTTGTAGTTCGAAGAAAAAATTGACAAGCATATTAATGGGGGTGGTGACATTGAATGTGGTGATCTTGTTGCACATTCTGATCATAGTAGAGATACATCTCCAGGGATCAATTTTAATAGAGGAAACATAGATTGAGTTCAAGATCAATAATAGATCATAGGAATTCCTTTATTGTCATGAATATATTCAGTATCACGGTGAGAAGATGAAAGCCGACCTATGAAAATTGAAGCAAGGTCACAAAAAGTAAGAGATGCTGCGATTGCCATGAAAGATGAGAGTAATGATCGATGATGATGTTCTCATGGTTCACAAAGGTGCGGAAGTTTTGAAAAATTCATGAATTTTAGATTCTGCATGCATCGTTCATATTTGTTTGAAGAAAGAATGGTTTGATATCTTTAATTAAAGAATATGATGGAGATTCTGTAGCACTAGTAGATGGTAAGGAAGTGAAGTTACTGGGATTGGCAGTGTTAAAATTAAGATGCATGATGGTACAATAAAGATGTTTGCACGTACCAAAACTTAAAAGAGTTGAATTCCAATTAAACAACTTGATTCTCGTGGTTATAGATGCTTAGCTGTGGTGATTTGACAATGATTAATGTTCAATTGCATCCAAGCAGAGAGTTAGTTTTGCTTTGATGGTTAATGGTACTAAAGAAGATTTTCACGTGAAGAAACTTGCAAGATACAAGCGAAGGTGTAGATTTGTTAAAATATGGCTTAAATTGAACAATGGAATCTTTGTAAAAAGAGAAAATAAACAATTGTTCTAATTTGGAAAGTAAAACCTTTTCTAGTTAGTATTGATTTTGTAGCAACCTACCCCTATCCCTCTCCCTCTCTCTACGTGTATGTGCAAGTGCACGCTAGAAATGAGGAAGTCACGAGGTTATTTATATAGTCCTAGCTGTTAATATATTCAAGCCAAAACTAGAGTACCAAGAGAGTTAATCAATTTATTAACTTTGCAGAATGTTCTCCCTTTCTCTGCACTCAGCAGAAAGAAGCCTTTTATACATTGCAGGTTATTTTGCCATACAAGGAGTCTATATAGAAGGTTATTTTGCTATAGAATGAGTATATGATAAGATAATCTTTGATAGTTAATATTTAAAGTCCTAATTATATGCATAAACATCCCCCTTAAATTGATTGATGCTGGTAAGTCAACCAACAATAATTTGCCAACAAGAAATTGATGTCGTTGTCAAGTCATAGCTTTAGTTAAGACATCAGCTATTTAGAGATCGGAGGATATATGAGGAAGAAATATCACCTGATTTTCCAACGTGTTGCAAATATAATGACAATCAACCCCAATATATTTGGTGCGTTTATGAAAAACAGGATTAGTGGCAATTTGAGTAGCACTAGTATTATCATCATGAAGTGGGGTAGAGGTGACCTGAGGAAACCTAAACTCTTCGAAAAGACTGCATAACTATACAATTTCAGAACAAGTAGTAGACATGACACGATACTCAGCCTCAATGGAGGATTTAGAAACACGATCTTGTTTCTTACATTTTCAAGAAATTAAGGCATTATCTAAAAACATACACCAGCTCATAGTTGATTGACGTGTATCTAGACACTCAGACCAATCAGCATCATTATAGGCAACAAGTTGAAGAGAGGAGCTGATAGGGAAAAACAACCCACGATTAGGTGAGCCTCAAAGATAGCGAACAATGTGTCGAATTGCAGCAAGATGGAGATACAAAGGAGAAGACATAAACTGACTAACTTGATGGACAACATAGGATATATCAAGTCAAGTAGTGGTCAAGTATATAAGACTTTCAATCAAGCTCCTATAAAGAGTAGGATCATCCAGCAAATCTCCTTCATCTTTTTTGTATTTGAAATTTACTTCCATAGGAGTATCAACAGAAGAAGTGTCCTCTAAACTAGCCAAGGTGATAAGATCTTTAATATACTTATGTTGATTCACGAAAATACTATTAGGTTGGTGATGAACTTCTAATCCTAAAAAGTATGTGAGCTGGCCAAGATCTTTCATATGGAAAGTTGTATGTAATTGCTACTGAAGCTCAGTAATCAAACCACAGTCAATGCCAATAATGATAACATCATCCATATAAATTAAGAGAAGGACTATACCTGACATAAATGTGTGGAAGAAGAGAGAAGGATCATACACTAACTTTGTGTAAAACTGAATGAAAAAAATTGTATTGTGAAACTTCTCAAACCAAGCTTGGGGAGCCTGTTTGAGCCCATACAAAGAACATTTTAGTTTACAAATATTGTAAGGAGAAGAAGTAATCATACTATAGGGGAGCTTCATGTAAATTTCTTCATGGAGATCACTATGAAGAAAGGCATTCTTCGCATCCATTTGATGCAGTTGCCATGACTGTGAAGCAGCAATAGCTAAGATGATTAGAACCGTGGTCATTTTGGCAACAGGAGAAAATATCTCTTCATAGTTAACCCCATATTCCTACTTGTTACCTAGAGCTACGAGGCGAGTTTTGTAACATTCTAAAAACCCATCAGAACGTAGTTTCATAGAGAAGATCCATTTACTCCTAATAGGTTTGACTGTAGAAGGATAATGAACAATATCCTAAGTATGATTCCCCTCAAGTGCTTGAAGTTCTGCTTGCATTGCATTTTGTCAACATGAATATTCTATGACCTATATGTAACAAAAGGACATGAAAATAGTGGATAAACTAGTGACAAGAGAGACAAGAGTGAAAAATCCATACCAATCATGGGGTTGCGAAAAATAAGTAAACCAACGAAGAGTGGTAGAAATAGGAGCAGGATCAGGCACCAGGTCAAGATCGGAAAAGAGCACAAGCAAAATGGAATCATACTTATGTCGATAATTTCTTTCATAAATAAAACCAGGTCTAAACCTTTCCACCATTGTTGTGGAATCAGAAAACTATGCAAAAGAGGTAAAGATACAGATGGCAATTCAACATAAGATGGAAAGAAATATTTATTTTCAAAGAAAATCACATTCTTAGAAACTCGTATACGACAAACATAAGGATCATAACAAACATAACCCTTTTGACGGATAGCATAACCAAGAAAAACACACTTAATAGATTGAGTAATAAGTTTATGTCGTTCATGAGTAGGGAGATGCGCAAAACAAACACAACCAAATATACAAAGACAGAATGTAAAGGAGAATGATCAAATAACTTAAAGAAAGGGAAAACATTATTTAATATAGGAGAAGGTCAATGATTAATCAAATGAACTGAAGTAGAAAGAGCTTTACACCAAAAATGAGAAAGAACAGATGATTCAAGTAAAAGAGTTCTTACTACATCAATAAGGTGATGATTTTTTTCTCTAAACTATACCATTTTGTTGTGGTGTCGAAGGACAAGAACATTGAGAAATGATTTCTTTGCTTTGAAGAAAGCCTTGAAACTCATTAGACATGTATTCACCATCACAATCATAGTGCAAGACTTTGATTCTAGTAAAAAAATTGAGTTTCAAGAAGTGCAAGAAATAGCTTAAAAATTGAAAAAACTTCAGCTTTAATTTGGAGGAAGTAAAACTATGTAAAACAACTAAAGTCATTAATAAAAACAGAGTATTTATAATGAGCATGAAAAACAACAGGTGCAATCCCCCAAACATCACTATGAATAATATCAAAAAATTTAGAGGTATGAGATGCATGATGAGGAAAAGGTAAAACTTTACTTTTTCCAAGTTTGCATGATGTACAACCAAAAGAAAAATCAAGAGAAAAACATGTTTTATGTCCCAATAATTCAGAATTAATCAAAGTGCGAAGTGCATTAGAGTTTGGATAGACTAGACTTTTATGTCATCTCTTATTTTCAAAACCAATAAAAGTACATGCAAAGAAAAGTCAAGGAAAACTAGAAATACTGGTGGAACGAGAAATATGAAGAGGAAAGAGTCGTCCCACTTTAAGCCTCTTTGTGATCATCTTCCTTGACATTTGATCTTGTACAACGCAATCAGAATGGGAGAAATGAGCATCACAATTATTATCAACCAATTGAACAACAAGAATAAGATTTGTGGAGAGGTCAGGAGACATAAAAACATCAATTAAGGAAGGAGAAAGATCACCAACAACACTGATAGGTAGAGAATTGCCATCAGCGGTACTAATTTTCATATTTCCATCATAATTTCTAACATTGAAAAAAGGAATGATAGTATTAGTCATGTGGTTAGAGGCACCAAAGTCTAAATATTATGGCTTAAAAATAAGTTTATAATTACCTGAGAACCCAAAAACAGAAATGATCATTTGTTGTACCATTTCAGAAGTGAGTATATTCGAGTTTGCTAAGCCTATAGGAGTAGGGATAGGAACAACAGGTGAGGCAATAGGTAATGCAACAGAACCAGAGGCACCAATGGAGGCATGATAAGCAATTCCTTGTTTCCTTTCAGGTTGAATGGGACAAGCAAAGATGATATGACCATGTTTCTTATGTAGTTGCAGAATTTCTTGTGGCAATCCTGAGCAATATGACCAAAATCTTTACAACTAAAACATTGGACAACATATTTCTCCCATGTGCTGCATAAACCACAGAAACAGGTACACTTGCCCTATGTTCCATAACTGCCTGAGTTATAATACGCTGCTCTTTACGAAGAAGTTCATTCAAACAGGCATCTAAAGATGGTACAGGATGATGATTCATCAGATTAGAGCGTGCAGTTTGAAAATTAGAACGGAGCTTCATCAAGAATTGATCTTTTTTGCTTGTGTCGTGTACTGCTTGAACAACAAAGAGAGCTGCAGTAGGAACATTAGTATAAACAATATATAAATAATTAGTCCAAAGATTTTGAAAACCGGAAAAGTATTCTTCAATAGAGAGACTTTCTTGTGTGAAGTTAGCCATCTCATACTCTAATTAAAAACACAAAGCTAGCTGTGTTATCCTGATTATAAATCTTATTTAGATAATTTCACATATAAATCTTATTTAGATAATTCCACATAGCAGCAGTAGTTTTATAAGGTCTCAAATTGAAAACAAGATGAGATTTTATTGAGCTAAGGATCTAGGTCATAACCCGAGCATCCATGATTTCCCATCCAGATAAAGCATCGACATCTGAGTTGTAGGATTACTCCTATTAATATGCCCTCATAGTTCTTTCCCTTAAACTAATAATTGAAATTGAAACTCCCAAGCAGAATAATTTTCTCATTAAGACGGATATGAAACATGTCTAGCTTATCGGAAGACATGATGAAGCTGAAAAGAAATAGATTTTGAAAATGCAACTGACAGGGAATTAGTGCAATGCAAAAGGAATACACACTAGATTCTGAAGCTAAGAGTTGCAAAGAATAGTAGCAAAAAGACTGATTTGAAACTACTGAGAATAACAACAGAAAACTAAGATCTGAAATAGCCAAGAGTTGCGCTAGAAACCCAATATCTGAAACGAAGAAGAATGATTCTAAAATTACCGAGAACACCACTAAAGAAGGAAGATTTGAAGCTACCAAGAATAACACCAGAGAAGCACAATAGATTTATAGATTTTGAAAACAAAAACTATCAAGAATAGTAGTAGAGAAAACAAGAATAACACAAAGTTGGAAATAAGGATCCAACAACCACTCCTTCTCGCTTGCTTGCATAATTTCCACCGGGAGTAATATGAAAAGGATGGGTCCAAGATGAGCAAGGCAACAACAGCAAAAGCTAAAGAAAAATTCAAGACAGAGGCAAGAAAGGATTTGGAAGAAGCTCCGATACCATGTTAATATATTCAAGCCAAAACTAGAGTACCAAGAGAGTTAATCAATTTATTAACTTTGCAAAATGTTCTCCCTTTCTCTGCACTCGGCATAAAAAAGCCTCTTATACATTGCAGGTTATTTTTCCATATAAGAAGTCTATATAGAAGGTTATTTTGCTATACAAGGAGCCTATAATAAGATATTTTTTTGATAGTTAATATTAAGAGTTGTAGTTGTGTATATATATATATATATGGTAACACTAGCGGTGTTGTTTTTGTGCAGGCTGTGAAGAAATCAATAAGAATGGCATATTTTTTGTGAGAATTTTCTTGGGTGTAACCGAGTTTTGTATAGTGACATATTTGTGTGTGCTGGATTCGTGGATATAATCTCCAATATTTGCTAGCAAAGTTTTTATAGAAGAAGATTTGCCGAACCGCTTCAAGTTTTTGTATCCCTTTTATTTTGTGTTATTGTTTGATTTGCATGGTTTTTGAAAAAAAAAAAATCTTTAGTTTTTGTGTGCACGTAGAAGATAAAACTCGGCTGCTTGCATATTCCCTAAAGCTATAACTGACGAAGCCCTGGTGAGTTGATGTTGGGACATTATGCATGATCATGGTGCTTCTTTGCCACTTAGCTGCTGGAAATTGAAAGAAAGTTTTGTCATATCTCTAATCTTTCTTTCACGTTCTCTTGCAGGAGGTAGGGCTTCCCAGTCAAGTTGCCAAGTTTTCCAAGGTGATTCTTGTTCTGTGTACATATTTTCTGCAGTTATACTTTCATTTTCAATGTAAAAGAACAAAGAAAATTAGAAAAAAAAAATTGCTTCTTGCTCTAGTGAATTTTATTTAATTTTAAAAATCCTTCTTAGTATGCAGAAAATTTCATAATTTTGAACAGTTGATAGCTCTGTGCTAATCATCCGGTGTGTATGCTAGTTGATGACTGTGTATTATACTTGAAATAATGCCTCGTTAAATTATACTGCTTAGAACGGTGCTATCCCCCTATGTAGGAAAGCATTCAGTTGTGCCATACATTATCTTCTACGATGGATCATGGTTATACCTTCACTTTAATCAAAGTAATGCAAGAACCACTGCAAACTCCATGAGAAGTTTACATCAATATTTCAGCAAATGCGAAACTTGTTTTATGTTTATAATTTGCTCTTTTGAAACAGAAAATCACAGCAATTCCAAGGCAAAGAAAGAGCAAATTTAGTGGCTTTCTTGACAAGATTGGTTTGGGCACGGCAAGTTCTAGTACAAAGAGCTGCATGGATGTTCTAGTAACTGAAACTAATGATCGTTCCACAACTGATATCTGCAACGTCAACCTTACGGCTGTTGGTGAGTATGCTGCCGTAATAATTATTTCTAGCTACAGCCAAAATTATAATTGGCTGTTTTTAGTACAAGTAGGTATTTTTCCATAAACAACCCTTTTTGCTCGAAGTTCCTGTCAATGCCATAAGTTTTTAAAACCTTCTTAATTTTTCTTGTCAAGTTGGAGGCACTTGCTCGATCTTTGCTGTAGCGTGAAGAATTGTTTATCTTTCAGTTGTGTTCACGTGGATGTATCATACAAGTGACTGTTTCTGACCTACGTAGATTGAATCTGGTGCCTGTTGTAAGCTTGTAGGCTTCTTCTAAGTGATGTAATCTTGGCATGGGCTGGTTTTCTCTGTTCAGTCGTTTTGCTAGCTTGCTAGTTTGACCCTATCCGTAGATAGCTTCTGCTCACATTAAGAGGTTCAGGAAAATGGCCCTGGCTTATAGAAGCATCAATGCAGACAATGACACAACTAGGATATTAACCACTTCTTGTCAGGCAACATTATTCTCATCACCAAGTTTTTGAGTTCCTCCTAGGAAAGCTCATAAATAACATCATTTCTCTCTGGTTGGCTGTGGAGTTCTATGTATAAGAGCTTGTATGTCCTCTTGGAAGCTTACTTGCTCCCAGAGCTTGACCCAATACGAAAGGGGATTCACTGTCCTCGCATAACTGATATCCCCGTTCTTTGGTTTTCTTATATTTTAGTTTTTACTATGATTTTTGTGATTGATTATTTCTTGTCTTGGTTATGGACTTATTGATGGTAGTTCCAGGGATGAAATTCGACAAATGGAAGGGGCCAGCAATAAAAATGTCGCTACCAAGTTTCAGGTAAATATTCATCTGAACTGGCGTTTAAAAATCGCCATGCCATGCGCTATGAGTATGTCATCTGATAGCTTCTATATGCTGTGAAATTGCAGTGGACGTACAGAGTATAACCCAAGCCTTTTGAAATATTCTTGCAATATTGAATGCAGGTATACATTGATACTCTTGCACTAGTTAAACTTATATTTTAGATATGCTTTGGAGAGAGAACAGAATTTGGCTGAGTAGGTCCTCCTCTAGTAACAACAAAAGCATACTTGTAATCGAACACAACTGGATTCCAGTTGCTCTGATCATCCTAAAAAGTAATCACTCATGTTTGCTTTAAAAGAATGGAGAACTCCAGAGCATCTTGTTCCATACATTGATTGGCCTCTGTTGAATACGAGATTTTCTCACACAACTCCTTTGAGTATAAAAAAAGGATCGCTTCATCTGTAGAAAAAGTTCACGGCAAAAAATCTGTGAAGATGACACCAGTGTTTTTGATTTCGAATGGACACATTTTGATTGCACAATTTTTCTGATAGAGTACGAGCAGTGCGGGCAGCAAAAGTATCAAGGCCATCTCTAACATCAAAGCAAGACGCTGAAGAGTCATTGAGTGAGCATGAGAGACGGAACTTGACCATATCTGTGATGTTATCAAAACCAATACTAGCTTTAGAGTTCAGTTGCTTAAAAATGCAGGTTGAAGCCCCAGTTGTAGTTTCCCAGCATTCTACGAGCAGGTTTGCAACTACAGTCACGGATTAAGGGCATTATTATTGTTCGGAAAATTCGTTGATATTTGTAATCAATGCCAATTTTGCATTGGTTTTTACTCTTTTTTTCTTCTTTTTTTGTTGGTAGATGATCAGCAGTGGAAGTGGCAAATAGTCATTACTGTAAACAATGGGAGTCTGGCAGAGCTAGGACGTTTACTTATGAGGCCAAGCAAATCCATGATTGCTTTTCCGAAGAACTATCTTAGTGTGATAGTATAATAAAAAAGAAGATCACAAGTAGATTGGAAATCTCATTAATGAGGATGCTTTTGCAATATTATCTTCTTGATAGAATATAACTTTACCAGGAGAGTTATTTGCCCTATTTAAGGAATCAAGCTATGATTTAATGAGAAAAGAAAATAAAGAAATAAAAGGAAGAGCAAAGAAATGGTGAATTGTGCCGAGTTCTAACTCTTCACGCAGCAGTTACTTGGGACCCTTTTTCTCCTCTCAAGTGGGAGTGGGAGTTTGAAAGTGAGACCAAAGAGTAGGCAGAAAAAAAGGTGATGCCCCACGTACGAGTGCACTTGGCCAGACTATCCAAGTGCTTTGCTTTCTCTAGAGGCATTGCCTCGAAATGCTTCTTCTAGAACGAAATGAGATAGCAAAATCTTGGACCGGTTTTGAAATTTCGAACATCTTTTTTCCAGGATGAGATAGCTGGTGATCTAAAACCTGAGCATCTAAGCCGAACTATCGACGTGCATCATGCAATAAAAGTGATATAATTCAATAATGTTATTCTTATTCCATAAATTGTCAATTATATTCCATCTATAATCTAGTTTTGTTATTTAGATAGATCAAAATACTACTAATTAGATTTCCCACAATAATTATATTAAAGATTTGATATTGCATTACCAAAACTCTAAACACGTAGGGAAATCATTATAGATATAAACACAAAAAAAAAACTATTTATTGCCTCATTGTTATAGTGAAATTATATTTTTGTTCTTTGAAGAAAAAATTTAAATCTTTTGGGTTAGGGTAATTTAGTCTTTCCAAATAATTTATGAACATTAAAAAATTCATAAAAGGTATATGTACCATTTTAACATTTTAAAAACAGGAAAATGAGTAAATGGTTCTCCAAGTAAAAAAAAATCTAAAACTGTTACTAAGGGTATTTTTGTCTTTTTATTTTTTTTAAATAGTAAAAAAAACATTTTTGTTCTTAAATTGAAGAATAAATAAATCGTGTTTAAGAGATTTTTCATCCTTTCACAATATTTTATATATATATAATTTCACACTAATAGATGGAATTTTGATCCTTTTATTTTGAATAATTAATATAAATATTCAAAAAGTTGTGTGCGCTATATGTGCTTTTTAGATGGCATTTTTAGATGGCATATGCAATGTTTTTTTATGGCTAAATCTATCATTTCACTGTGCCTTTGAAAGAGCCTTTGTATCCTTTTTTTTCTTATATAATGTGTGTCGACGGTAATTTCAAAAAATATTTATTTTAAATAATATTTATAATATATGCAGTTTTACATAATATATTTTTTTGTTTTTATTTTATTTTATTCAATTAATTTCATATATATGTTTATTTTTATTATTGTTTGATTGAAAAAAAATAATTTTAATCAATAAATTCATTAAATACAACTAGTAAATGTTTCATATTACAAGATCAAATATTTTAATTTACATCGAACCTCTCAATTTTTTTTCAGTTTTATTTGTAGTTATTGTGACTTTTTTTTATATTTATTTTTACATATATTTTAATAAATATTTCATATTACAAGATAAAACATTTAAACTAAAGGTTAACTTGAAAAAAAAAATAGAAATAAAGGGATGCAAACATTTATATTCTTTTATTAACTAAAATATGTTAGTGAGCATACCAAGATCAATACGTACATGAAAGCATTAAGTTTTAGTAATATACATATATAATTATTAGCATAATTGATCATCAACCTACTCGCCCATGAATTCTTAAATTCAAGATCCCATCCTGACTTGAAGCATGTAATTTGTACATGTAGCAGAATCACCGCCCTTCTCATGGATAAAATCAGTGTTTAGATTATCATGTTTCTACATCCGCAACTTGTTTTTAATCTTTTCTTACATGCTAGCTGTAAGATTTTTTCTTTACGCAACTTTATTGGATCAAATTTATTATCTTTCACTGAATTATTTATGTAAAAATATTTTATTTGCTTTTTCGTAAGAAATTGAAGCTATCATAGCAGCCACCAGATTGTAGGGCATGTTTTAATTATTTGGAAGAAATCCTTGTTTTTCATAATTAAATGCATGGGGCCTCTCTCTGAACAGATAGTCCATACCTCAGAGCACAGTCATTTATAAAAGGAACATCAATAAAGTGCGATTAATTATTAAGTACAATGCTCAAAGGAAGTTACTAGCTTTGCACTGCCGCTTGTATGGAAATGCAGCTCGACGCCCCCCTGCTGTAGATGTACCATTTCCCGTTGAAAACACTACAGATAATTTTGTTGTCATGTTGAATGAAGTATATCAAACAGCCTCCATGGTCATCATTTTGGACTAGTTTCATGTAGTATTATGGTCCTGATCCGTGGATTGTGTACTGCTTTATCATGCCGTTCTATGTAAATTCTGCAGATATTCATTCTGCAGGGAAGCATTTTTATGTGCAAGAAAACCATTGTTTCAGAATAACTTCGATCAATTTTTGGGTTGACAAGCTAGCAGAGTCAAGTTCAAAACACAAGAAGGCAGGTTCTTTCTTTACTCGAGTTCTTTACAAAAATCTCACTTTCCAAAGCATGGAAAAAACCAAAGAAACAAACAGTCCAGTGCAATTCTCATTCTCGGGCAATTGAGAACTGCCTTTTGCAATAGCAATCCCTTGTCTACTTACAATTGAATATGTATTTCCTGTAATGAAGTGATCTGCAGATCAGAAAGCTTCTGGTAGAGGCTGGCCTCCCAAGAATGCCTTGAACAGAACTAGCGATCTTTCAGGCTGTGAAAATGGAGCTTCATGGGATGCTCCTCTAATGGTGGCGAAGGATAGGATATTACCATAAACTTGAGTCCACCCACCAACCTGAAGTTAAGAAAACCAATCAAATACTATCCAGTTAAAATATATAACTAGCAAATTCTTAAATTGTAATCTTCAAACGTGACAGTTACCTGCTGCCCTCCAAACCAAACTCGGTAAGGCACTGTGGTTTGCAGTCCCAATTCCTCTGCCAGTCCGTGAACTAGTGTTCGGCTTCCAGTCAGCGGGATGACAGAATCTTGGTCTCCACTGTATTTTAGGAAGAAATGTCTCATGATTTCTATAATCAACCTTGACTAAATTCCATTCTCCAACTTCACAAGCAGAATATAGCAGACTGACAAGGTAATAGGTGAGTTACCTATAAACCAAGACCGGGATTCCTGCCTTAATGAGTCTTCCTACAATACTGATTGTTGGTATCTCCAAGTCAAGGAGCTCGTAATCAAGAATGCTGAACAGTGAGAGCAAAATTATCAAACACCTTAGAAAAATAAACGAGAAATGCTTCTGTCATCTCATTGATTTTTCCATGAAATTCTAAAATTGGAAGTTTCTTGTTGGCTGCTATCACATTAGCACAACATACTGAAATTCATATTACTGTGATAGAGAATTACTTGCTGCAGACAGCCCATCGGCGGACTCCAACAAGACGTGCATGGAGAGCCTTCTGCACATCTGGCCTGTTGAGATAGTTAACTGTTTCATCTTCCACACATACATCTATATTGTCTCCAAGTTGTTGCTGATCAGATTGAACAAATTGAACAGTTAGCGAGTCAACTCAGACAATTTTTGCAGTTGAAAAATGATAGATTTTGCTGACCTGGGGGCTAAGGATTTTGGACTGTGAGAGAGCTGATGATATACAGACATCGAGGGTAACATCATACTTGTCAACAAATCTACTGGTTTCTCTTGTCACTTGATTCATCACTCTTGAACATTGAGGAGAAACTGAACCTCTGTAGTATTCGCTTACATATCGCGAGTAGTTACAAACTGTAGTGAACATTTTGTATGTTGTATCTGATATCAATCCATGAGACCAGAAGAACTCGGCCCTCGAATTGAAGTCTGTGGAGTACTCTAAAACTGGATTCCCCATCTGCAATTTAATAGGTCTTGATTAATTGAAAATAAAAAAGAATAATAGAATTATAAAAAACAAAAAATAACTCTTTTAACAGAAAAGGAGATTTGGTTTGACAAATACAAACGATAAAAAAAAAAAAAGAATTACTAACAGAATGGAGGGAGAAATTTTTCTTATTACTACTCACAGCAATTCCTTTCAGATTGAACAGTTTCTCCTTTCTGTTGAATTGAAGCATGAGATCTGCCAGCTGGGGCACATAGTGACCTAATCATGAACAGGATTGAAGTATAAGATTAAACCCCATTTATTTCTAACCTGTTTTGACTGAAAAAAAAAAAGTTTGCCTTGAGCATGAAAATAATACCAGCATAGCTTTCTCCTGTAATGAACAAACTTCTGTTTCTGTAATGTGGAAAATTGACAAACCATTTCTGCAGGAACACCAGATTGTCCCTAGCTATATAGGTAACAAAAACAAAAATAGCTTCAAAATGAGAGGTAAAATGTCTATAAAGGTGACCCTTTGTCAACTCAGAATGTAAACGACTTAAAAATAAGCATATCTGTAAAGCAAAAAAAAGATATTATATAGTGCTATGGCATAGTGAGATGAGAACAAAATTCTTACAAAAACCTCAAATGACTAAAAAAATAGAAAACAAGAAGAAGAAAAGAAATAAAACCCAGAGCGAGAAATAAATTGAGACAACAAAAGAAAGATAAGAAGTTGACTTTGAGTCTTTGGTGCAGAAATTCTGTTTCTTGTGCAAATCCAAAAAATTTGAATAGAAAGTTTTTGTTTCCCTTTAGCGAGATTTAAACGTAAAAATGAGAAAGCAATATAAACATTATGGATTTGATAGACCAATTATACTTAACAGACAAAAAAAGAAGAATCAAGAACTTGGTGGAAACATACCAGTGATCTTGTCATTGACACCTTCATATGAAGAAGCATTAGCAGAGTAAGAGAACCCAACTCCAATTGGTGTCTCCAAATACAACATATTGGCTTCTGCGATAAAATGATTATTTACTCAAAGATCAGCACGTTGTGTATTGTTTAATGCAAAGAACAAAATCAATCTCATATTGTAATATAAACATTTGCAATTTGTT